GTGGCTGAAGTGGTAGAGCACCAGCCTTGAGTGGAAAAGCAAAGGGACAGCAGCCAGGCCCTGAGTTCCAGCCCCAGGATGGGTACACATGTGTGTGCACGTGCATACATGCATGTACACGCAACACACACACATACACAGAAATCCCCAGGCAAAGGCTTGGATCCTTTGGAAGCAAGGAGGAGGCGGAGGTCCCTTCCAGCAGCTGACCCACACCTGCTTCCAATTCCTGGGCCCAGCATTCCTGCCCAGCAGAGCCCAGCCGCAGCCTGGGTGGAGGCGGGAAGGGGCTCAGGCTGGGTCCCCTCCCTCTGGCCCTGGCCTGCCGCCTGCCCCAGCTGCTCGACCAAGAGGCCTTTGTATGTGGTTCTGTAACAGAGGGTTGGGCCTGGTCCCCTCCTTTGCAGATGGGTCCCCCAGAAACCAGGTATTTCACCATCACCTAGTCCTGGAGTCCAGGATGCTAGAGCAAAAGGGAATGCAGACTGGGTGGCGATCAAACCTTGGGGGATGGCTCACTGATCCCCTGTTCCAAGGATGCCTGGAGCCATGGGCTTGCCAGACCCAAAGTGAGTTGCCTTTCCAAAGAAAGGGCTCACACGTGTCATCCTAGCTACTTAGGAGGCTGAGATTTGAGGATTGACGTTCAAAGCCAGCCCAGGCAGGAAAGTCTGAGACTCTTATCTCCAGTGAACCACCAAAAAGCTGAAAGTGGAGCTGTGGCTCAAGTGGTAGAGCACCAACCTTGAGCACAAAAGTTCAGGGATTGCACCGGGGCCCTGAGTTCAAGCCCCAGGACCAGCACCCACCCAGAGTAAAACAAAAAGCCAAATGGGTGTGTGGCCGGGGGTGGCTTTGAGAATGTCACCCAGCTCTGCCTGGAAATAAAGGTGGCTTTTGCAGACAGATCCCACGGCCGTCCTCACCTGCCCGCTGAGGACACACAGGTGCGGGGCCGGAAGTTGAAAGGATCCCTAACCCATCTCCACAGAGGGGAGGTCTCAGCACGCCAGCAAGCACCCAGCGTCCGGGTCCACACTCCTCATCTTACCCATTCTGTGGTCCCACTGAGACAAACCAGTGAAGGTCTGGGCTCACCTCGGCCAGTAGGGGGGAGTCAGAGAAGGTTCTAGGCCTGCTACTTACAGCCATCACCGCCCACTTTCCTGAGCTGGTAGATTCTGCAGGCTTCCTGCAGCTGTGACACTCCTGAGCTGTGCTGACAGCTTAATCTTCTGATTATTAGGTGATCCTGTCATGGGGTTTGGTGCCAGGTGAGCCTTGGAGGGGCTGTGTTTCCCGGCTCCCCACCCCCACCTAGGGGGCTGCTGGAGTGGAGGGGGGGGAGTCTGGTGGAAGAAGTTTGGCATTGCCAAAACCTCATTCTCAGCACATAGCTGACAAAGGCCAGATGGCTTCCTGCCAGGCTCTGTTTATGCCCCAGCCCCTGGCTTGAGAGACTGGGGCTCCACATTCCTTGTCCCATGGAGCTGGAAGACAGACAGCAGGGGTTGATTGGACCCACCAGGAGAGAGGAAGCGCAGGGGTGACAGGTGAGGGGCAGGCAGCCACAGGAATGTGGACGCGGCCCCCTCCCCTGGCCAGGAGGGAACAGATTGCTAATGAAGCAGGAAGGACTTGGGTCAGACCGTGGGAGCATTTCCTGATTGCTGAAATGTGGAGCTGGCGAGGTCAGGAAAGGTCGCAGGCTCTTGGCCAAGGATCGGAAATGCAGCGAATGTTTTCATAGCCAAGTGTTTAGGGATCCATTCCACCTGGGCTCACACACCAGCTACCACTCCAAGCTCCTTATGCTGACGGGGAACCTGAGTTTCAGAAAGGGGAAGGCGAAGGCCGGGCGCTGGGGGCTCACGCCTGCCTTCTAAGTGACTCAGAAGGCTGAGATCTGAAGATCGAGGTTCAAAGCCAGACAGGGAAAATCCATGAGGCACTGGACTCCCAATCAATCAGCAAAAAGCCAGGGGTCAGGGCTGAGGTCAGGGTGTGTGTGTGTGTGTGTGTCTGTATGTTTGTGTGTGTGTCTGTGTGTGTGTGTCTGTGTGTGTGTGTCTGTGTGTGTGTGCACACTGGGGCTTGAACTTAGAGCCTGGTTGCTGGCCCTTAGGTTTTTCACTCAAGGCTGGCGTTCTACCACTTGATCCACCCACATCTCCACTTCCGTCATTTTGCTGGTTAACTGGAGATGAGAGTCTCTCATGGACTTTCCTGCTTCGGCTGGCTTTGAACCTCAATCCTTAGAGCTCAGCCTCCTGAGTAGCTGGGATTTCAGGCATGTGCTAACAACACCAGGCTAGAACCCATGTGTGTGCCTCTAGTTCCAAAGCCCCACTGCCCCTGGGTGACGATGGCCCCCGGCTGGTGGATTCCACCAAGACCCAGGCAGGAGCCTCCTTGGCAGCGCACACTTGTTGGGATGGCCTGTGGCAGGCTGCTCTGAGCTGACCCCCGATGAGTGTGAACCCACCTCATAAGCCAGTGCCTGGGGCAGCCCCAGCCCCTGCTCAGGGCTCCCCCACCCCAGGCCTGCAGGCCTGGCTGCTGACGGAACGTCCCCCTGGGAACACAGCCCAGAGAAGGAGGCTGAGTTCTTTCCTGGAAAAACATACCAGCTGAGGGAGGGGGTGCCCGCAATCCTAGGGACCTCAGCAGGGGACCCTGGGGGTGTCCTCCCCCTGCCTGAACCCCAGGGCCAGGCAGAGGTTTGTTTTTGTTTATTTTTTTAAAGAAGGGTCAGGAAGCCCCCATAGTGGATAGAATGTGGAACAGCAGCAACAAATAATTATTGAATAATGGTAAGAATGAGTTCATGGAAGTGCTAGAAACAGCATGACTAATCTCCAGTGTCTCCACAGTGCACCAGCACTGTCTGGGGCAGGGGGATGTGTGGGGTGGGGTGGAGAGGGGCACCAAAGGAGAAGCACCCATGGCCTTAGAGACCAGGCCAGGGCCCCCAGCACTCAGCGTGAGACCAGGGTGAGGGTTGTGTGTGTGCCAGGTCAGGACTCATGTGTGACCGGGATTAGAGCTCAGTGTCTGACAGATCAGGGCTCGGTGTGTGACCAGGATCAGGGCTCGGTGTATGACTGGGATCAGGGCCCAGTGTGTCACTGGGGTCAGGGCTCCGTGTGTGTGACCAGGATCAGGGCTCATTATGTCACCGAGATCAGGGCCTAGTGTATCACCGAGGTCAAGGCTCAGTATGTGACCCGGATCAGGGCTCAGTGTGTGATTGGGATCAGGGCTCCATGTGTGACTGGGATAGGGCTCTAGGTCAGGACTAAGCCTAAGTGCATCACCACTGGCCTTCAGTGCCCCTGGCCTCTGGCTCTGGCTCCCAACCTCCTGGCTTGTGGCTTCAGCTTAGGAACTGGCCTGGAGAGGGGGCATCAGGCCAGCAGAGCCAGCTGGTCAGCCTTTATTGAAGCCTGGCCTGGGGGTCGAGGGGAGTAGACTGTCCCATGAGATTAACCCCACCCCTTCCTATGGTGAAGACCCCTCCTCCAAGGGGTCTCAGGGAGCCAGAGGCAGGGGGGACCGGCTCCCAGCTGGCTTGAGGACCTGGGTGCCTGGGGAAATGAGAGCAGACATTCCTGGGGGCTCGAGTAATAGCCCTGGGCTGGCCAGGAAAGGGCCACCTCATCCTCACCGCCCCCTCTGCTCCAAGCTTCCTCGGGGTTCCAGATAGGGGAAGAATAACCCTGCTGCCTGGCCCAGGCTCCCCAGGAAGAGGATTTCCCAGCCCCCACTCCCCCAGCGCCCTGGGAGAAGGCCTGGCCCCAGAGAAAGCAGAGCAGTCTCTGGGCACCCCGGGGAATGTGTGGGTTCGAAGATCTGGAGGCCAGACCTCCCTTCCTCTGCCTCCTTGTCTGGCGCTTTAAGCTGAGGTCAGGGGGTCAGGAGTTGGACTACAGGGGGAAATCCTTTCCTTTCCCCCCATTCCCAGTTCTACCCACCCCCCAGCCCCAAGAGCAGAGGGCTTCAAAGAAGTGGAAAAACCTTAGAAGCTCACTTCATTGACAGAATCCCCAAGAGAAAGGGATTTAGAGACCCAGCTCACTTTTCTTTCTTTTTCCTTCCTTCCTTTGTTTTTTTTAAAATTTTATTTGTTTTTATTTTTTGCCAGTCCTGGGGCTTGAACTCAGGGCCTTGGCACTGCCCCTGAACTTCTTTTACTCAAGTGGCTCTACCACTTGAGCCACAGCACCACTTGTGGCTTTTTCTGTGTATGTGGTTCAGAGGGATCAAACCCAGGGCCTCCTGCAGGCTAGGCAAGCGCTCTACCACTAAGCCCTCCTTCTTTCTTTTTGTGCCAGTCCTGGGGTTTGAACTCAGGGGCCTGGGTGCTGTCCCTGAGCTCTTTTTCTCAAGGCTAGTGCTCTACCACTTGAGCCATGGGCTCCATCTGCAGCTTTTTTGGAAGTTCATTGGGGATAAGAATCTCACAGATTTTTCCTGCCCTGGGCTGGCTTCAAACCCTGATCCGAAGATCTCAGCCTCTTCCTAAGTAGCTGGGATGACAGGCCTGGCCGCCGGTGCCCGGCTTCCCAAGTCAGGCTGAGAAGAGAGTACGGGGGTGCCCACGGCCTCCACCCCTGACCAGTATTCTTCACCCCACTGTGGGTGGGCGTCCGACACCTGCAGATACTTCTGCTCGTCCTGACTCCTGTGTGGCTGGGCAGGGGCGGGAGGACCCCAGCTCCTGCCACACCTTCCTTCCAACCGACACCCACCTGGTCCACACCAGGCCAAGGCCTGGGGCTGTCCTGGTCTCGCCTTTCTAACTCCAGACTCTGCCCTGTCTGCCAGTGCTTGCTCACGTCCCGGCTCTGCCAAGAGGTCCCTAGGCCTCCACCCCACCGAGCGGTCCCGAGCCTGGGGCCTCCCATCTGGGAGCCCAGCCAGGGTGGGGAAGGTGTGGAGTGTCCACCCAGCCTGGCCCAACTCCCTCGGTGCCATTGCTGTTTTGTTCCTCCGCTCAGGGCTCCCTGACTTAGTCCCGGACCCCAACTACGTGCAAGCGTCCACCTACGTGCAGAGGGCCCATCTGTACTCCCTGCGCTGTGCCGCCGAAGAGAAGTGTCTGGCCAGGTAAGGATCCAGGGGCGCCACCAGGGGACCCCCAGAAACAGCGCCTGTGCCAGCTGCACAGCCTGCACCCTGCCTGACCCCCCAGTTCACCGCTCAAGTCTCCGCCTCTCCCTAATAACACAAGTGGCATGTGCTGTCTCCTTCCCCCCCCTCCCTCCTCCCCACCACGCAGAGGACTTGAAGCCACAGTCTGCAGCTCTGCTGATGTCCAGGTTGAAAGAATCTTATTTGGGGGGGGGGGCACAGTGAATTATTGGGAATTGAACTCAAGACCTTGCACTTGCTAGGCAAGTGCTCTACCATTTAAACCACACCTCTAGCCCAGCTTTTTTTTTGTTGGTCATGGGGCTTGAACTTTGGGCCTGGGTATTTTTCCCTGCACTCTTCAGCTCAAGGCAAGCACTCTACTGCTTGAGCCACAGCACCACTTCTAGTTTTCTAGTGATTTATTGGAAGAGTCTCACGGCTTTGAACTGTGATCCTCAGATCGCAGCCTCCTGAGTAGTTAGGATGACAGGTGTGAGCCACTAGTACCTGGCTGAAAGTAATTTTTTTTCCCTTAATTGCGTACTTAAAAAAAAAAGTTTTGAGGGCTGGGAAGGTGGCTCAGTGGTAGAGCGCTTGCCTTGCATGCATGAGGCCCTGGGTTCTATTCTTTAGTGAACCACATTAGCAGAAAAAGCCGGAAGTGGCGCTGTGGCTCAAGTGGTAGAGCGCTAGCCTTGAGCTGAAGAGCTGAGGGACAGCACCCAGGCCCAGAGTTCAGTCCCCATGACCAAAAAAAAAAAAAAAAGTTTCAAATCTCTTTACTTTCACCTTTTTTTTTTCTTTTTTTGGGCCAGCCCTGGGGCTTGAATACAGGGCCTGGGTACTGTCCCTGAGCCCTTCAGCTCAAGGCTAGTGCTCTACCACTTGAGCCACAGCACCACTTTCTGTTTTCTGGTGGTTCATTGGAGATAAGGGTCTCACGGACTTTCCTGCCCGGGCTGGCTTTGAACCGTGATCCTCAAATCTCAGCCTCCTGAGTAGCTAGGATGACAGGCATGAGCCACGGGTACCTGGCTCAAAGCCCTTCTTTCCAGAGCACCCTGAGTCCCAGGCCGGTGAGGAGGAGGCCTCCTGCCCCCCTTTCCTAGATCAGAACCGCCTGCTAGAGCCAGAAGGAGCTGCTCCTCATCCAGACCCCAGTGGCCAAACCAAGCAATCAGGATGGGGGAGAGCCAGGATACATGGCTCCAGCGCCGGGGCTGAGTGAGGTCAAGGCGGGAGGGGTCTGCAGGGCCCAGGCATCTGGAGACTGGGCGTGGGGCTTGAGATGCAGGAAGCTGGAGCCCAACCATGAGAGGGGCCACAAGGATTTTTCTCAAGCGCGGGTCCCAGGCCCGGCTGGAGCCACACAAGTCACACACCACAGCCAGCCAGAGTCGAGTACTGCAGGCCCAGGGGCCTGGTGGGGCTGGCATCTGTTCCCGATCTCCCTGTGAGCTCGCGGCCACGCACACAGCCTGCAGTGGGAATCTCACCATTTCCCACGAGGGCAGGGCAGGAGTTAATTGGAGGAAAGGAGGATCAGACGCAGACAGAGGTCAGGCCTCCCCCCCACGCCCGCCCCCCGACGAGGCCGAACATCCTGGCAGACAGACGTCTGAACCGCCTGCTGTCCAGACATACTCAGAGAAATCTAATCCCTTGTGTCTGCTGCGGCCTCTCGGCCCAGACCTGAATGAGGCCAGCCAGGGCAGCTGCCACCCACTGCCGAGGGAACAGGGCCTCCGCCAGGCCTCCGGCCTGTGTCTCCCCTCCCTCTATCCTCCTCTCTCCTTCCTGTAAGGCCTGCCTCTGTTGGATCACGGGAGACATGGGTGAACGGTGGGCAGGTAATCGGCAGGAGACCCTAGGCTCCTGGAAGGAACAGGTAGATGGCTGGCCTGGAAGCCATGTCATCAGGGAGAGCTGGCCCGATCACCTGGGAGTAGTGAGGGCCACGCGGCACAGGAAAGTCGGGGGTGGGTGGGGAGGGGCACGTGTCTCGGGGTCTCAGTGGAGCAATCTAGGCGGACTGCCTGGAGGAGGTGGCGCATCTTCAGGCCGCTGGAGAGTCACACAGCACAGGGTCCTGAGGGAATGGGGGGGGGCCCTGCCCGGGCAGGACATGATACAGCTGTGCTGAGTCTCCTGGGTCACCCCGCAGCACCGCCTACGCCCCGGAGGCCACCGACTACGACCTGCGGGTGCTCCTGCGCTTCCCCCAGCGGGTGAAGAACCAGGGCTCGGCTGACTTCCTGCCCCACCGCCCACGCCACACCTGGGAGTGGCACAGCTGCCACCAGTGAGTGGAGGCCGGCCAGGGCGGCAGCCTGGGGCGGGGCGGGGCAGCGGGGCGGGGCCGGGCCTGGTACTTGGGCCAGTGCAGGAGGGGGACAGGCTGAGAGGCCAGGAGAGCCCAGGCCTCGCCTCCCCTCCCCTCCCCTCCCTGCAGACATTACCACAGCATGGACGAGTTCAGCCACTACGACCTCCTGGATGCAGCCACGGGCATGAAGGTGGCAGAGGGGCACAAGGCCAGCTTCTGCCTGGAGGACAGCACCTGCGACTTCGGGAACCTCAAGCGCTACGCATGCACGTCACACACGCAGGTGGGCGCCGCCGGACTCCATGGGCACGGAGCCACTGACCACTCAGCCCCAGCGTGCCCAGGGTCCTGATCAGAGCCTGATCAGGGCCACCACCAGGCCCGGAAGCTGTCTGCTTGTCCTTCAGTCTGTCCATGCAGCCACTTTGGTTTTTTTTTTTTGGTGCTGATCTTGGAGCTTGAACGCAGGGCCTGGGCGCTGTCCTGAGCTCTTTTATTCAAAGCTAGGGCTCTGCCATTTTAAAGCTACACTTCCGCTTGCAGTTTTCTGGGTGGTTCATTGGACATGAGAGTCTCGTGGACTTTTCCTGTTCAGGGCTGGCTTTGAATCTCCATCCTCAGATCTCAGCTAGGATGACAGGCGTGAGCCACTGGCACCTGGTACTTGTCTCTTCTTGGTTGGAGTATAAAGGATTGAACTCAGGGCTTTGCACTTGCTGGGCAGGTGCTTTACCACTTGAGCCACATCCCAGCCCTTTTTGCTTTTATTCTTATTTATTTGTCTGGGGTGGGGGGATTGGCCTCACCCTACGATCCTTCCACTTATCTTTTCCTGGGATCACAGGTTGCACACTGCCGTGTCTGACTTGAGGTAGAGGTCTTCTGAGCTGGCCTCAACCCTCAATCCTCCTGATTTCCACCTCCTACGTAGCCAAGATTACAGACATGAGCCACCACTCTCTATTCTGCCTTTCATCCAGTCTCTCTCCCTCTGTGTTTCTGTTTTCATCTCTGTCTCTCTCTCCCTCTCTCCTGCTCTACTGGACAGTAAATTCAAGGACATGAGCTTCATACACACACACGCACGCACGCACGCACGCACACACACACACACACACACTCACACACACGCACACACGCACACAGCCCTTTCATTCTTGTTTTCACGATCACATTTCCTGTCCTGGCCTTGAGTTCCCATCCCCCTGCCTTTGCCTCCCCAGTAGCCAGGGGTTACAGGTTTGCACTACCATGCCCAGCCTTTCCACCCAGGATCATCGCTACCTGGCATCTCTCCCTCATCCCTCCCTCAGGCTTCTACTTCCCTCTGTTCCATCCACAGCCTCAGGAAGGGCCTGGGGTGGAGGAGGAAGCATGGAGGTGGGGCAGAGGGGGGTGACTGGCGTCTTGTCTCTGTTGCCAGGGCCTGAGCCCAGGCTGCTATGACACCTACAACGCGGACATCGACTGCCAGTGGATTGATATCACCGACGTGCAGCCAGGCAACTACATCCTCAAGGTGGGTCCTGGTCCCCAGCCTGGTACGCCCCACCATCACAGGGGTTCACGCCAAAGCCCCCTGGGAGCAGGGGCTCCTGCCTGCAATCCCAGCTATTCCGGAGGCCAAGATCCCCTAAGTAACTTAGCGAGGACTGTGGTTTGAGGCCAGCCTAGGCCAAGAGGCCATCCAGACCCCACCTTCATTAACAAGCCAAGCATGGCAGTACACATCTGTGGCCCCAGCTATGGCGAGTGAAGGTAGGAGGATCATTGTTTGAGGGCAGCCCCCAGGCAAAACACTTAAAATCCTACTAGGGAAAAAATAGTCTGGAGGGGTGAGTTCAGTGGTAGAACACCCATCTAGCAAGTGCAAGACTAAGGTCCTGAGTTTTAAATCCAACCAAAAAAAAAAAAAAAGGAAAGAAAAGGAAAAGGCCAGGCGTCAGTGGCTCACACCTGTCATCCTAGTTACTGATGAGGCTGAGAGCTGAGGATCGCGGTTCAAAGCCCACCTAGGAGCCATGATCCTCAGCTTTCAGCCAGCCCAGGAAGAAAAGTCCATGAGACTCTTATCTCCAGTGAACCACCAGAAAACCGGAAGGGGTACTGTGGCTCAGAGTGGTAGAGCACCAACCTTGAGTGGAAGAGCTCAGGGACAGTGCCCAGGCCCTGAGTTCAAGCCCCAGGACCAACAAGAAAAGGAAAGAAAAAGAAAGAGGAGAAGAAACTGAGAAAAACACAGAGAAAGGAAGAAAGGAAAAGAAATGGAAAGAAATGAGGGGAAAAAAACCCTCCACACAGCCAGCCTGGCATTTTGGTGTGGGTGGCACCAGGCCACGTGGCCACAGCCTGCCCTGAGCACAGCCAACCTTGCCTCCATGACTGGGCTGCTTTACTTAAAGCCGTCACTCTATCACTTGAGCCACGCCTCTTCCTGCTTTTCTGCTGGTTAATTGGAGAAGAGAGGTCTCTGGAATATGTTTGCCTAGATGGCCTCAAAACTCAATCCTCACATCTCAGCCTCCTGAGTAGCCAGGATTACAGGCGTGAACCGAGGCCACCCCTTTGTGGACTCCTCCTGCGGTCTCTCCTCTCTCCTCTCTGTGTCTGTCTCTTCTCACCACATTCTTCCGGGTGACTTGGGGGAGCGACGCCCCCATCCCTGATAATGCTCCCTGTCTCTCGTCTCTCTCCTCCAGGTGCACGTGAACCCCAAGTACATTGTTTTGGAGTCTGACTTCACCAACAATGTAGTGAGGTGTAACATCCACTACACAGGCCGCTACGTTTCCACGACCAGCTGTAAAATTGTGCAGTAAGTGGCAGCTCATACTGGGCCTGGGCCACGGGCAGCACCGCTGGAAACGCCCGGCACTGGCGCTTGGGGCCACACTGATGGCCGCACGTAGCTAGGGCGGGGCTCCGCGGGACCAGCCTGGTCAGCCAACCCCACGTCGGAGGCTGGTGGCATGGCCACGGGGCTAGCGTAGATCTGGGACCCGGTGCTGCCGGTCTCTGAGATGTTTCCAGTGGATGGGCTCCGCAATCCTAGTGCTGTGTGTTCGTGTGCACGTACGTGTATGCTTGATGTCAGTACTGGGGCTCGAACTCCAGGCCTGGGCACTGCCCCTTGAGCTCTTTTGTTCAAGGCTAGAACTCTTACCACTTTGAACCACAGCACCCACTTCTGGTTTGCTGGTGGTTCATGGGAGATGAGAGTCTCATGGACTTTCCTGGCCTGAGCTGGCTTTGAACCTCCATCCTCAGCCTCCTGAGCAGCTAGGATGACAGGCCCGAGCCACAGAGCCTGGCTTGAGCAGCTTTTCTTAATGATAACCAGGTACCTGCCTCAGAGGCAAGAATGAGGCCTTGGCAGCTGAGGCCCCGAGGCCGCTTAGCACGTGATCCGGCCCCAGAGTCCCCCATTACCAGTAATCCAGCTTGGAACCAGCCAGCCGCAGTCCCAAGGTTCTCCCCCTCACCCCAGCTACTCAGAAGGCTGAGTTCTGAGGATCTAAGTTCAAAGCCTGCCTCCTTCCTCTTCCCTCCCTTCCTTCCCATTGCTCTGTACATAAGTGCTTGCCAGGACTCGAGTTATTAGCGCGTCGCCATGACCTGGCCGCAGGCACGCACAGGAAGAGGGATGGAGGAACGGAGCGTTCCCAGAAAGGCCGAGGAACTGATGCCTGTGGCTTTCCAACCAGTTTCTGAAGAAAAATACAGATCCTTTGCGAACCCAAGCAGGCAGTAGCACCTCACTAATGGCTAGGAACCGGGCCTGGAATGTAGGGCAGGGGCACAGGCCTCTGGGATGTGGGGGGGGGGAGGGGGGCTTCTACCTACCCCTCCCTCCCACAGGCTGGGCATGGCGGTCCAGCCTGTAGCTCACCCTGACCATCTCTCTTTCTCTCTCTAGATCCTGAAGTGTACAGGGAAGACAGCCAGTGTCTTTTTCCGAAGCAGTCCCTGTACCCCATGAAGCCCCCCACCAAGGTGCCCAGCCCCCCCCAACCTACCCCAGGAGCAGCGGACTCCCGCCTCCCTGCCGGCCTCAGGGAGACTCGGGGACCAAGGCCACAGCAGTTCTGGTGGCAGGCCTTCCGTGCCTTTTACAGCACCGTCGGAGTGGTTGTTGGATTTTATAATTATATATATATATATGTATATATATTTGGCCATCCCACACAGCAAGAATGCCCAGGTCTGGACTGAATAAAACCAAGTTTTTCTAACACGCGGCTCTGCCTGCCCAGAGCTGAGCTGGCTGCAAGGGGGCGGGGGGGGGGCAGGGGGGCAGCCAGAGGCTTGGCCACCTCCCCCAGGTCTCATTCTGTGGCTGGCTGTCAGGAAGGAAATGGGGGAGCAGAGGCCCAGTGTTGCCCAGATCCTGGCCGGGCCCCAGAGCTGAGCTTTGTCTGGCAGGGAAAAGGATAGAGATGGAAAGAGAAGGAAATGGGAAGGAAAACCCCATCTCCGAGCCATCAGGCACACTATTGGGGCTGCAGCTGGCTTAGGGGAGCTGGGGTGTCACCCAGCTGAGTGGAGGCCAACACAGAGGCCCAAGGTGAGGACATGGGCCTCCCAGGCAGGGTCTGGGGGTCCTGGGCAGACAGGTGGGCTGGCAAAGTGGCCCGAGAAAGGACCCAGCCCTGACTGAAGTGGTCTGCACCATAGCTCGGCCTCCTCTGCCCAGTGTCCCAGATGCCCATGAGGTACCAGGCTGTGACCCCCCCCCCCCGCCCAGTCACTCGCCCTATCCAGTATGGCCCGTCCTGCGTCACCACGCCAGAACTCCCTGTGGGGCTTGTGGCATGCAGGCCTCTGATCACGAAGGTGTGACAGGGCTGGTCCTTAGGAAGGAATTCTCAGACTCCTAAAGGAACTCCTAGTCCCCTGGGCCAGGTCCACCAGGTCTGCAGAGAGAAGCACAAATCCACAAAGACAAAGCCTCCGGAGTGAAACCCCAGAGCCCAGAGCGCAGGTCCACCCCTGCTTCATCCGTCTCTCCTGGCACCACAGCGTCCCCTGCTGGCCACAGGCTGTCACTGTAAGCCCTGTGTTGCTGAGAGGCCTCCTACTGGGCACCTCCTCCTGTTCCTGGACAATGCAAGATACAAGGATACAAGGTGCCAGGCACCAGTGGCTCACGCCTGTAATCCCAGCAACTCAGGAGGCTGAGATCTGAGGATTACTGTTCCAAGCCAGTCTAGCCCTGAGACTTTTTTTTGGTCAGTCATGGGCTTGAACTCTGGGCCTGGGCGCTGTCCCTCAGCTCTTCAGCTCAAGGCTAGCACTCTACCACTTAAGCCACAGCGCCATTTCCTAGCCCTGAGACTCTTATCTCAAATGAACCACCAAAAGGCTGGAAGTGGATATGTGGCTCAAGTGGTAGAGCACCAGACATGAGTGAAAAAGCTTAAGTGAGGGTGTGAGACCCCAAGATCAAGACTTAGTAACACACACAAGCATGCACACCCATACACGCACACACAGCAAGCTGGTTCTCCTCAGGGCTAGGCTCTGTCTGGGCCACAGGGCAGAGCCATGTCCCCGTGCTGTGGAGTCAAGGACTTTTCTGCCCAGGCTGGCCTCCAACCTTGAGCCTCCACCAGCATCCAGCCATAGAGTATGTGTGGGCTCATGCACACGCACATGCGTACCCAGTACTGGGGCTTGAACTCACAGCTCGATGCTCTTTTCTGGATTATTTTTTTAACCCAAGGCCAACCCTCTATCACTCGAGCTACTGCTTCATTTCCAGCTTTTCACTGGTGGTTAATTGGAGATAAAAAGTCTGTAGGATTTGTCTGCTGGGCTGACTTCAAATCTCCATCCTCAGATCTTAGCCTCCTGAGCAGCTACAATTATAGGTCTGAGCCACCAGTGCCTGCACTTTGCCTTTATAACGATTAAAGAAAATTAACTGGTGAATGGATTAATTCTGTATTAATAATGAACATAAACATCAACTAGCATAGTCTATTATCATTGTCCATTGTGGGGTTTTGTTGTTCTTTGTCAGTCATGGGTCTTGAACCCTGGGCCTGGGTGCTATCCCTGAGCTCTTCAGCTCAAGGCAAGCACTCTACCACTTGACCCACAGCGCCACTTTCGGTTTTCTGGTGGTTCGTTAGAGGTAAGAGTCTCACGGATGTTTCTACTATGGCTGGCTTTGAACTGTGATCCTCAGATCTCAGCCTCCTGAGTACCTAGGATTATAGGCATGAGTCACCAGCCCCTAGGCCTGTGGTTTTGTAGGAAAAGTATTCCTCCCCTTCTCCCAGCCCACCTGTGCATGAGCCCTCACCTCCTCAGGGAAGCGCTCCCTGGTTGAAGCGTTAGGGACCTATGCTCCCTCCACTGAGGGTTGAGCCCTTGAGCAGAGGAGAGGGCTCCACCTCTGAGATCTGGACCACCTCACCTGAGAATGGCCTGCCCTGCAGGGCAGAGGCTAAAGTACTGGCCGGGTGGGCCACAAGCCTAGCCTCCAGCCACACCAACACCCAGATACGTCTGTTTACCAGGAAGTGAGGTTGATTCCCACCCCTGTTCCCCAAAGGCCCCACAAAACCTCAGACAAAATGAGCAGGTTCAGAATCCCCCGAGTTGTGATGCAATCTCCCCGGCCAGGCGCAGTGGCAGCCTTGTTGACGGCCTGAGTGAGTGAATACCGTGTGTAAGACCCAGGCTGGGGGTGGGTGGAGACAGGAAAGGAAGTCTTGGAACAGGGCAGGGCCCAGTAGGTGGTCACACCCTCCAGGGTGACCCCACAGACCTGAAGAAGGGGCCCCACCCCAGGGGGAGGACTGTAGGAGGGACCAGCTGGGACTGGCTGGTTTGTGGTCACCACAGTGGGCAGGACACCCCTGCCTGTCACTTAGCTGATGGTGGTCGGCCCAGCTCTGGCTGGTAAACTGTACCCCAACTCCACCCTCACTGCTCACTTCACGTATCTTGGGAGCTCTGCACCAGCCCAAGGTAGGCCTTGGCAGGGAAAGGGGGGTTGTCACCTCCTACCCCCCAACCCCTGTCCGGTCTACCCAGTGCCCCCAACCCAGGTCTCTGCGCTCAGTTCCAGTGTAAACCAACTTCACATTTATTTGCCCCTCCGGAGAGAAGCGTGGACAGTGAGACTCGAGACCCAGCTCCGTCAGGCATGCAGGATGAGCTGGGGCCTGGCTGTGGGGCGCTGCAGGCTGGCTGTGCCCCGCCCTGCCCCGCCAGGCCGGCCTGACACATGCGCACTCCATCCACCCTGGGGCTTGGAGCCCAGGCCTCGGCTTTGTACAATCACACAGGCTTGGCCTGCGTGGTTTCTGTGACCTGGTTACATCTCCACGCTGGGTGGCCAGCTCAGGGACTGTCAGTGAGCTGAGCTGGACACAGGCAAAAGCCTACCCAGAGACCTGCTGGGCGCAATACCAAGTACAGAACAGCCTCCAGCGTCTCCTGGCCTCCATCTATGGCCTCCTGGCTGGGCCTCCAAACTTCATCGAGCCTCAGCCCGCCCCAGTGCAAACCAACACCTCCTCCAGGAAGCCCCACTGGCTTGACACAAGGTATCCAGCTGGATCATCCTGGTGACAGCAAAGGCAGCTACTTGAGGGCCCTGAGGACAGCCTCCAGCTTCATGACCACAGCCAGGTCGCCCTTCACCTTGAGCCGCCCATTCATGTAGGCCCCCAGGGGCCGCAGCTCCCTGCTCAACAGCGCCTGCAGGTCCGCCTCCGCCATCTCCACCACCACGTCAGGGACACCATCGGGTACCCCACGTCCCACCCTGCCTCGCCCTGTGAGGGGAAAGAAAACAACGATAAAATCTGGGCTCTGGTGGCTCACGCCTGCCATCCCAGCTACTCAGGAGACTTGAAATCTGAGGATCGCAGTTCGAAGCCAGCTGGGGCAGGAAAGTCCGTGAGCCTCTTTATCTCCAATAAACCTGGGGGGGAGGAGAGGCGCACCTGTGGTGAGGTCCAGGAAATAGGCGCTCTGGTTACCGCCTGGCAGGATGACGTTGAATTGGTAACAGGCCCCAACCTGGCTGACCAGGGCCTCGGACAGGAGGGGCTGCAGGGCGGTCAGCAGCCCCTCCGCCACGGGCTGCTCAGGGCCGGGTCCTGCACCACTGCAAGGGGCCGGTGCTTCCACTTCGCTCAGCATCTCCAAGGTGTCGGGGGTGGCTGCAGGGAGGCAGGGAGGCCAGAGCTCAGGGCTGAGGTCCTGATGGCAGAGGCCTCTAGGCCTCTGGTGGCCGTTTCCTCAGGTTTTCCTTTCAGGCCTCTTACTCAAGCTTCTTCCTATGCTAGGACAGGGACCCCCCGCACCCCCCCCCCGCCAAGTTTCCAGCCGTGTGTCCCTGCAGCTCCAGCCTGGGACGGCTGCCCACCCCGAGGCCGCCAAGGGTCTGGACACCGCACAGCCATGCGGACAGCACAAGGCAGCCTGACCAGGCCGGCATGTGGCTGGATGATCGTGAGGATCGAGGTCCACTGCCTCCTCCTCCCGGCTGCTCACCTGGCCGGGGCTGCAGGGCACCTGCCGCCCCCGGGCTCAAGGCTCCGCCCAGCAAGTGGAGAGCCAGCTGCTGGAGGGTGCTGTCAAGGCCGGGCCCGGCCGGGCCGTCCTGGGGCGGCTGCAGCACGGCCTCCACCACCAGCTCCACCCGGTCCACCTCCAGCCCCCAGGCCCGGGTCACGTCGTTGATCTCCAGCTGGAGAAGACACGGGGGAGGGGACAGCGGGATGGGGGGGGGGCATGGGTTAGGTCAGTACAGCCCAAGATGGAGAGCCGAAGCCGGGAGCATGCGCAGACCAGAGACAGGGGGCGTAGGCGAGGCCCCTGGGAGCATGCGCAGACCAGAGACAGGGACGTAGGCGAGGGCCCTGGGAGCATGCGCGCATGGAGATCAGGCGTAGGAGAGGCCCCCTGGGAGCATGCGCAGATCGGAGACAGGAAGTGATAGGCCACTCGGAGCATGCGCGGATGGAGATCAGGCGCAGGCGAGGAGGCCCCTGGGAGCATGCGTGAATGGAGATCAGGCGTAGGCGAGGCCCCTGGGAGCATGCGCAAACCCGAGACGCCGGAAGTGGACGTCGGGGTACCAGGCATGGCGCCCGCACGTGCCAAGACCCAGAGTCGAGAGCCTGGAAAGGTGGAGGGCCCCTGGGCAGGCCCGGGCTGAGCCCGGAGCGGGGCCGCCCGCCTACCAGGAGCTGGTCGCTGATCTTGAGCCTCTCCATCTGGATCTCGGGCAGAGGCCGCCGGAGGAGAGCCTTGGTCATGGCGTTCTGGGCCGTCATGCGGGTGGCCGCGTTCAGGTCCTTCACGGCCAGCACCGACAGCACCGGGTCCCAGATGCGGAACTGGACGTCGGCCCCCACGGACAGCACGGCCCCGTCCTTGGAGGTCAGCTGTTGGGGGGCAGGAGGCCGGGAGGACGGGCCCGGGCCCCCCACTGCCCGCCCCCCTCCCCCAACTCAACGGAGGAGCCGGGCGTGGGGCCTCGCGCCTGTCATCCCAGCCCCGGGGAGGCTGAGAGCTGAGCATCTCGGTTAGACAGGGGCAGGCAAGTCTGTGAGACTCCAGTCTCCAATGAACCACCGAAAAAAAAGCTACAAGTGGACTGTGTGGCTCAGGTGGTAGAGCACCAGCCTCGAGCAAAAAAACCCCAAAACCCTCAGGACTGGCTAAACAACAACAAAACTAGTGTCTAAGTATTAGCTGGGGTCTGGTGTGTGGAGCCTTCATCCTCAACTGCTTTCTCTTCTCCCCACCCACCCTGCCAAGATGGCTGCTGGCAGGCCAAGGTGCTGGCACCTGTGCTCACTGGGCATAAGCTCTACCCTTCCCCCCCCCCCCCCCCCACAGCACCAGGTACCCCTCACCTTGCAAGGAGGGACGTTGAAGGCTCGGGTCCTCAGATCCACCCTCTGAGAGCAGTCGATGAAGGGCAGCAGTAAAACCATGCCAGGCCCCTGTGGGGGGCGGATCCGGCCCAGACGGAACACCACCATGCGCTCGTAGGTGGGCACAACCTGCCCCGCGGCAGCAAAGAGACCAGCTGCAGGTTGTGTGGCCCAGGCTGGCCAATGCCCTCTGCCAGGTCCCGCCCTTTCACCCCCTGGCCTAGTCCCCTGGGACACAGTCAGGAACCCTAGCCTGTTTTTCGATGAGAAAGGCTCAGAGAGGGACTCAAGTCACACTGCATCTATGCAAATCAGGATTTGAGTGTGGTTCTGGACACCTCCCAAGAGCCTGTGTCTCCATCGCTTCATCTCTGTGGCCTGAAGCTAGGGCAGGATGCGTGCCAGGATGCCGCCGTCTGCTCCTGCATTTGTCAGAGGAGAGGCTGGGCTGCTCTGACTGCACCTGAGCAAAGGGCCCTGCCAGTTTCTACTCCCCGGAGCCCTTTATGAAGCCATTTTGTCCAAATTGAGTGATGAAGGTGCAGAGAGGCATCGTGACTGGGCCTGGGTCACACAGCATTGGTTTCGGTGGCATTTGAGAACTAAACTCTGGGGGGCACTTAAGGACTCCCCCTCCAGACACAGGCATCCAGAGGTTTCCTACAGAAGCTGAGGGAGGCCTTGGGCCTTGGTCCCCAGCAGCTCCTCTGCACCGCCTCCTGCTGAAAACAAGGCCCGAATTCTAAGCAAGCTGGGTGTTACTTTGTTTTTAATTTCTAATTTGGTCTAACCCAAAGGGAGAATGAAATGGCAGTGAAATCAGAGTCCAGATCCCAGGAGTTTGAAAGACTCATTTCTCCTTACTAGCTCCCCAGGACAACATGGGACAAGTCAGGGCCTCAGTTTGCTCATCTGAAAAATGGGTATGAGCAACCCTTCCCTTGTCCATGCTTAAGGGGTGTGACAATATTCAAGGGCAGGAGGAGGTAGAGCCTGAGGCAATTCATTCCTCAAAGTCCTCACTGTGGTCCTATTTCTCCAGGGTGAGTAGTGCCAGCCTTACCTTCAGGGCAAACCAGCCGGAAATAGGGAAGGTGATCAAAAGCAGCAGAAAGCCCAGGAAACTGATGATGCCATGGCAGAGGCAGGAGGACCAGCTTTGGGGGGAGTCTGGGGGAGTCAAGAGAATGGAGAGAATCACAGGGCACGGCCATTGCACCTGAAAAGCCAAGCGCTCCTTGAACTCAGTGGGGGTCAGCTCCTGCCTGGCACAGAGCATGCATGCTGCACAGAGCATGCTGCCCTGAACTGAATGCTGCCTGCGCAACCCATTCCTTCTCTCCCAAGCCCCCCAGAAGTGTGCATCCCAGCGGTCCTTATGTCCCAGCCTGTGAAAGAGAGCGTTAATTGCTCACTAATGGGAGCCACAGATGAGCTTTAATATATCCCCCACCGAAATGCTCTAAGAACTATCAAAAATATAAACTTTCAAGCCTGGCATAGTGGCATATGACTAATCCCAGCGCTTAGAAGGCTGAGGCAGGAAGAAGCTTGAGTTTAAGACCAATCTGGACTACATAGCAAGACTCAGCTTCAAAAACATAGAGTGCTGGGGCTGGGAAGGTGGCTCAGTGGTAGAGCGCTTGCCTTGCATGCTTGAGGCCCTGGGTTCGATTCCTCAGCACCACATAAGCAAAAAGAAAAAAGCTGGAAGTGGCGCTGTGGCTCAAGTGGTAGAGCGCTAGCCTT